AAAATTTTTTGTGGTACTCTACGCCAGCCTCCACATTTGGAAATTTATATTGCACATACAAGCTTATCAAAGGGTTTGAAAAGCACTGTATTAAGAATTCTATTTAACTTGTTCAACCTGATTTTCAAAATGGATGTGATCTTGGAGACTTTTGTGCATGCAACACTATTAGCACCTGCAGAACTGCGTCAGCTCTGCCTGAAGAATCTGCCCCAGTTTTAGACCTTTATGCCTAATTCATGCCCAGGCCAGGCTGGGCCAATCCATATGCCTGGGGACAGAACCCCTTCCTGCTTTCAGTAAGCAGCTTAGTTTTCCCCATTCTCGGTACTGGATAACCCATACTCCTTGGCATGAGCCATGGATGAGGAGATCAACAGCACAGAAGGGGGCACTGATGCGTGGGAAATGTTGGTAGGGCTGATGGGAGGGGTGTGGGTCTATGTGGGGATAGGAGACACACTCTGTTGGTACATCCTGTTGGCTCTCAGGGGACTGGTACAGAAGGCACAACCATGTAAATTGGGACTTAAATTTAACTCTATGTAAATTTAACTATGTGAAAGTCTGGGAAAGGAGCCCTGGTGGCACAGTGGTTAAGAAATCGGCTGCTAACCAAAAGGTTGGTACTTCAAATCCACGAGCTGCTCTGCAGGAGAAAGATGTGGCAGTCTGCTTCTGTAAGGATAAAACCAAACCCAAACCCATTGCTGTCAAGTCAGTTCCAACTCATAGTGACCCTATAGCCTTGGAAACCCTATGGGGTGGTTCTACTTTATCCTGAAAGGTTACTATGAGTCTGAATTGACTCAATAGATGAGACTTTGTTTTTTAAAAAGTCTAGGAAGGTGGAATGCAAGCTCACTGCATCCAGTTGCAAATCAGTGCTCTTGGGTTCTCCAGGCCACACGCAGTTTTGCTTGGTAGCACAGTGGTTTCATTTATTTGTTTGTTTGTTTGTTTGAAAGCAGGACATTCCACATGACAATCTGGCTTCCTTCTTCTCTTAAAAGATTGGGCAGTAATGGGCCTATATTCCCACCTGGCAACAATTGGCTGGAACTGAGACAGCCACTGCCTGTAGACAAGGCTTGACCTTGTCTTTGCCCAGTTGATTTACATTTTCTGTGCAGCCTCTGGGGCCAGTCTTTTAAGTTCTTCCAGACCCCTCCAAATGTACTCCTAGCACCCTACTTTATTATTATTATTATTTCTTTTTCTCTGTCTTTAAAATCAAAGCTTGACCATGTCTCTTCCTTGTGTAAAACTCTTCACCAAATCAGATTGGCTTCTTCACTGGGAGCATAAGGGGGAGCTCCAAGTTACCTATGGCCTGGTATTTGGGGTTCTTAGTAGTTTGGTCCCACTGAAAGCCTAAGAGATGGGCAGGAGTTTATAAAATTAAAGATGGATGGATGGACTGAATGAGTCTAAGACTAGGTGCTGGGGAGGACAGAGAGGCTAGCTCTGTAAGGCTCTCAGATCAGAAAGAGAGGCACAATACATAGGAGATAGATGACAGATACTAATACCAACCAGTGTGCCCACAATACTGCATTACCATTAACACCAAACACCAGGCTACAGATAAATACCTAAACATCTGACAAGATCAGATGGGGGTCAGTGAAGAGGAGTATACTCTAGACCAAGGACAGATTCAGCAGAGGCTAATCTTGCACAGATATCAGTGATACAAAATACCTTCAATCCTTACAGAAACAACAGAAGACAGACATAGAATAATCCCTCACAGACACCCAGACACTGTGGGAGAGAGATTCAACATATCTGTTGACTCAGGACCATAGTACTGGGGGACACCAGACTCAATTGGCACAACAAAATACATCAAAGTCTTGCTCTTCATCCTACATTGGTGAGTAGTGACTGGGGTCTCAAAAGCCTTCAAGCAGCCATCTAAGATGCAGCTAATGGTCTCCTATCATCAGAAGCAAAGAGTGAAAAAAAAAAAAAAAAAAAAAACAAGGGCATTTGGAAGCAATCAGCCCTTGAGTGATGGCCTCGAGACCAGAAGAACTAGATGGTGCCTGGCTACCAATGTCAACCACTCAGGAAAGGATCAAATCTGGAGATCCTGGATAGAGTGGGAGGGAAAACGTGGAACAAAATCCAAAAACTCAATAAAGACCAGAATTACTGGTCGGATGGAATCTGGTGAGACCTCCAACACTATGGCCCTGGTATACATTCTGGGCCTGGCATAAAACACACCCCCAGAGGCTGGCTCTCAGCCCAATAGTAAACAAGATGTACACACAGACCACTAAACCCAGGGTAATGCACCCACATACTCTGTGGAAATACATCCCTTGGAGCAATCAACCATGCGGCACCAGAGGGGCAATATTCGCATGGAGGAAAAGCAGGACACACAAGAGTGCATAACTATGAGGGGCGTGGGGCAGGAGGGTTACTGGGCAGGGAGGGGAGGAAACTGGGTTAGGGTTGGGGATGGTAAATGGGGAGTGAAACTAAATGTACACATAATGTTGAATGTAAAACAAATTCTGTTAACTTGTACCTAAAAAAACACAATAAAAAATATTTAAATAAGTATTAAAAAATAATAATAAAAAAGAAAGAGAGGTACAGCATATCCAGAAAGGCCCTATGAGTATCTAGAATCCTACATCCCCATCATACAAACAGATGTGGCCTCCCTGGGATTGGTAAAAAGGGTCAGAGCTCAGTGGGAGGAGCAAGAGTGAGCACATGGCTCACACACAAACTCTTCTTGATTCAGGCTTCTATGTGGACACGACACCATGCAACTCTTTGGCCCCTCATTCCTGCTCCTTGGTAAGGATTCAGCCTATGCTGCTGTTTGGTTTTGGGGGTGGCAGTGGGAGCTGGATGAGGAGGAAAGATCTGGGGCAAAGAAGAGTAAATGTGGGACAGGGTGGGGAGAGGCAGCTCACATACATACAGGCAGTCCCTGTTACAAATGAGATCTAATCCTAAGAGTGCCTTTAAGTCAAATTTGTAGGTAAATTGGAAAAGGTGCATGTGGTTCTTATTTAGCATTCCTTTAGCTCAAGAAAAGGCTTGAAGCTCATTCAATGATTTCAAAGCTGCACGTGCAGCAAGGGAAGGTGATTGTGATGAGAAATTTGTTTTGACTAAGGGTTGGTTCAATTGTTTCAAAGTACGGACATTAAATTACAAGTTGTCTGAAAGTCCTACGTTAGTAACCAGGAGACTGCCTGCCCTTCTTTCGTTGTGTCTTGTTCCCTTTGCGTATCTCCCTATCTCTCCCTCTATCCTCAGAGGGCGTTCTTTATTCCTTTGAAAGTCTTCCATGCCCTGCAATAATGATTTCTGGTTATTGTGATGGGTTCCAGAATACTTGGCTTTCTCTGACTCAAAGCTGTGGACGTTTGACCACCCTGACACTGTCTACTCCTGGGAGGGGGCTTGTGTCTGGATTCCCTGCCTCTACAAAATCCTAGAAGGCACAGGATCTTTGGACAACCTTACCGTGTACCACAATTATGAGTATGACAGCAACATCAAGGACTTTACGGGGACCATCCTCTATAAGACCCAAAAGGTTCCTCTACGCTCAGAGAGGGTACAGTTCCTGGGAAACAACAAAGACAACTGCAGCCTGTTCATCCAGCCGGTGCACGTCAAGGACAGTGGTCAGCTGGGGCTGAGGATGGTATCAGGAGATAAGAAATGGATGGAGAACGTAAACCTCAATGTCTCTGGTAAAACTTTGGGGAAAGAGGACTGCTTTCTCAACAGGGCAAGGAGGAGAGTGGGAAATACCCTGGTTTCCTGGAACCAGAGGAACAAACTGAGATGCTTGTAGAGGCCAGGGAGGGGGTGTCAGTGGGTGATGTGGGCAGCCTCAGATAACAGGGCTGTGACAACCTGTAGTTGTGAGGACTTGTACCCTTCAAGCAGGAGACTGGCCCTCAGTTCCTGCCCATTATGGCACACAGGACTCTAGCTTTCAGCTTCTGACTTTTTAAGAGAAGCTGGAAATCTGTATTTTCAAGTGAAATCTCCCAAATACATTATGTTGTTGTTATATCCCATTGAATCGGACCCGGCTCATAGCAACCCCTCCTTGGGTTTCTGAGGTGGTATCACTACGGAAGTAGATTGCCCAACCTTCCTTCCGAGGAGTGGCTGGTGGGTTTGAACCACCAGCCTTCTGGTTAGCCGTCAAGTGCCTTAGGCACTACGCTACCAGAGCTCCTAAATAAATTATGTTTGTGACTAACTCTATTTCTAATTAGCCCTTTCATGGGCTAAATGACACATGTGTAATGGGGGTATAACCCATCCAATAGAAAGCTGAGGCTTCTGCCCCAGGCAGTCAGGTCAATCCAGTCCAAGCTTATTTCTGCTCTAAGCAGTCTTATGTCCAGAGTGACAGAAACGGCCTCAGATCCTGCAGTCTGAGGGCTGTCCAGTCCTGGGGAGAGCCGTGGCTGGCTGCACACAGGCCTATTTCACTACAAGAATGCTGTGCTTGCATGCCTCCAATATTGTGGCCATTGAACAAACACAAGTTGGTCATTCAAGCTAAGAAATACATGCTGAACAAAACAGACAAACTTCACTTAGGGGTTCTGGGGGAGCAATTCTTGAGACATTTAGAAAGCAAGTACAGGATGTGGGAATGAAATGAATAAGAAGTGCAATTCCTAAGGAGGTTTAGCATCCACAGACCTTTCAGAGAGTATTCCAGCTGAGTAATGGTGATCCAAAGCAGGAAAGAGGGGCCAGGAAAGAGGTGGAAGGGACTGGCAGCGCTTCCCAGTGGGGGTTATTTTGGGGAAGAAAGTCTGAAGCCAAGTGTAAAAGACTTCTACACATCAGTCTCTAGTCTCCCAGGGCTCCTTCAAGATACCTGTTCTTTTGCAGAAAGGCCTCCTCCACCTCACATTCAGCTCCCTCTGGAAATCCGAGAGTCCCAGGAAGTCGCTCTGACCTGCTGGCTGAATTTCACCTGCCCTCAGTACCCGATCCAATTGCAGTGGTCACTGGACAACTCAGCTGTAAACTCAACCTCCCTGAGCACCAAGACTGTCTCTGTAGAGAGCAAGCTCACATTCTGTCCTCAGTGGGCTGATCATGGGAAGAACCTGAGCTGCCGGCTCGAGAACTCTGTCACAAAGGAGGTGCTCTCGCAGAAAACGGTGTGGCTGGATGTGAAGCGTGAGTCTCCTCAATGATCCGAAGGAAAGGATGAGGTCCTTGTCACCTTCTCCCCAGCCCCTCAGTAAGCACCGAGAATAACAGAAAGATAATCAATGTGCAGTGGTCGCCCACAGCTAGGGATGACCCCAGCAGCGCTTTGCTCCCTTCTCCACCAGCCCTGTTGTCAGCCCCAGTGTGGCAGGAAACAGATTCATATCAGCATCTGTGTTGGCCTAACAGAATAAACTGATTTAATCTATCCTCAAGCCACAGCATAATTTTGGGATTATCTAGTTAGCTTTTTCCCCCCGGAGGGAAAAATTTCACATCATTATTATTCACATTTGTGCCTCATTCATTCATCCAATAAACATTTATTTCATACTTACTAGGTTTCAAGCCCTGCTACAGCAACCCAGCAGTAAGCAAAGTTCTTGTCCACAGGGAGCTAGTATTGCTGTGAGAGAGACAATAAATAGATAAAAAGAAAAAGAATATAGGATGTAAAGCTAATTATGTGAATGTATTAAGGAAAAAAGAAAGCAAAGTTAAGATAGAAGAAGTGATGGATAGAGATCTCTCTGAGGAAGGTAAACATTTGATGAGACTTGAAACTGAAACAGGCAAGTGTTTGGGAGAAGAGCATTTCCAGGAAGAGAAAAGTGCAAGTGCAAAGGCCCTGAGGTGAGAAATTGCTTGATGTGTTCAGGACAAAGCAAGAGGGCCATAGAGGCTGAAGCATAGAGCACCCCAGGAGTCAAGTGGTGAGGAAGGAAGTCTGAAAGAGAGCAGAACACTAGATTAAGTGGGCCGTGGTGAGGGTCTTGGATGTTATTCTAAGTGTGGAATCCATTGAATTGTTTTGAGAAGGGTCTGATTGGTACTGTAAGGAATCCTACTGGTTGCTGTAGGAAAAGAGAGAAGGCAGAGAGAACAGTTAGGAGGCTGTGGGAGTCGTTTGCGTTGTTAGACCAGCCCAGTCTTATTGACAAGGGTAACAGTGAGTGACTGCACTCACGTATAGGACACTACTTAGTGAGAATAAAAGCTTTGCCTTTTACCACCTTCCACTTTCTGAGAATATTCCCTCTGGCCCTCTGCTTCTGCAGACCTTCCAAAGCTGGAGATCGAGGTCAGTCCCAGAGAAGCCATTGTAACGGAGGGGGCATCTGTGACCATGACATGCCGTATCATCAGCAGCAACCCAGAGTATCAAACTATATTCTGGTTCAAGGATAGCACCCGGCTACAGAAGCAGAAGACAGCCACACTGACTCTGTCCAAAGTGACCAAGGAAGAGAGTGGAAAGTACCACTGTCAGGTCCTCAATGCTATGGGCTCAAGAGATTCCAAAGATGTATTCCTCCAAGTGCAGTGTGAGCCTCTTTGGAGCTGGGGAGGGGGCAGGCAAGGAATTGGGGAAGAGGGGAGATAAAAAAAAAAAAAAAAAAAAGCCAAACTCACTGCCATCAAGTTGGTCCCGACTCATAGCAACCTCTCCTTGGGTTTCTGAGGCAGTATCTCTGTGGAAGTAGATTGCCCAGTCTTCCTTCCGAGAAGTGGCTGGTGGGTTTGAACCGCCAGCCTTCCGGTTAGCAGTCAAATGCCTTAGGCACTATGCCAATAGGAGAGTGAAACCAAAGCCCTTGGCAGGTGAGCAGTGAAGGCTTGCACAGATCAGAGGGCTCTCCTCACCTTCTGTTGCCTTTGTCACTTCTTTCAGTTGCTCCAGAACCTTCCAGTGTTAAGATTGACCCCTTGCCTGCTAAAGAGGGAAATACAGTGCAGCTGACTTGTATATCACAAGCCAATCCTTCTCCGACAAATTACACCTGGTATCACAATGGGAAAGTCCTGGGAAGGACAGAAAAGAATTTCCAGATCCCAAACATCCTCCTTCAGCATGCTGGGAATTATTCTTGCCTGGCAGAAAACAGTCTTGGTACTGGACAGATTGGCCTGGAAGCTGAGTTGGATGTCCAATGTGAGTAGTCACAGTAACTCTAGGTTCAAGGGAGAAGGGATAGAAGTGAGGGGAGGGAGAAGGAGATGCCTTGCTCTATAATGAGTAGCAAGGAAGAAGCCAGGGCCTCCTAACATGCAAGTTTCTTGGGGCAGGTGCCTTGTCTTTGTTCACAGTTAAATGGGGCCTGGCTTGTGGTAAGTGTTCAGTAGATATTTACTGAATGAATAAAGGACCAAATGCCTAGACCCAATGAGGGACACAGAGGCTTAGCATCACTAAGCAGTAACTGAGTCCCAGAAATCCTGAAGTTTTCAGGGAAAACAGGATCGAAATGTATCATTACTATTGTTGTATCTTCTTTAACACTGTGACCCTTGGCACTAGGTTGAGTCCCAAAGAGAATCCATAAGTCTGAGCCTCAGATTCTGGGATGTCATAGTCTGAGCACCAATTGGGTGCCCAAATCCTGTACATGTAGACCATAGCAGCAGCAGCTAGTACTTTAGAATGTACGATATGCCATGCTCTGCTCTAAGGACATTATCTTATTTTATGCTTGCAATGATTTCATGAGTTAGGTACTTTTAGGAGTAAACTAAGGCCCACAGGTCTCAATGTCAGGGCCTAGCATGCTGGCTCCAGAGCTGTGCTCTTAACCACTTTCTATCCTGCCTCAAATCACAGCAAAGCCACTGGCCAGGATAAGGTTTCTGTTCTCACACAGATGCAGGAGAGAAGCACTAGCCTTCTTTGGTCAATGTAGGAGCTGTATGAATGAAGTGGACAGGTGGAGGAGAGAGAGAGGAAGCAGGAAGGAGAAGTGTATGGATATCTAGATTTTCTTCATCTGTCTCTCTGTTTCTTTTTCCCAGATCCCCCCAAGGGGGTGACCATGATGATTCAGAGTCCAACACCAGTTCGAGAAGGAGACAATGTGATCCTGGTCTGTAACTACAATTCCAGTAACCCTAGAGTTACCAAATATCAATGGAAATCCCAATTTTACAGGAATGAGTCATTCTCTGAGGTGCTGATGATTCAGAAAGTTACCTGGAATGCCAGCCCAATCACTTGCCTAGCCTGTAACCTCTGGTGTTCACAGTCTCCCTCTATCACCCTGAATGTCCAATGTGAGTAGCCCAGGCAGGGGAATCTGGGAGGAGGTAGCCCACTTGGGATATAGGGATCTAAGGGCCAAGAGACTGGACCCTGGACCAGAGTCTTCCCAGAAATTTGAGGGAAGAAAGCCAGGCCTCAGGGTTGAGGGGGGAGGAGGTCCTGGGGGCAAGAAGATGGGAGAGAACCGAGAGGTCAGCCTGAGGCCCTCTCTCTCCAGATGCCCCCAAAGATGTCAGAGTCCTGAAGGTCAGCCCCAGTACTGAGATCCACTCTGGGCAGCAGGTCCTCCTTCAGTGTGACTTCTCAAGCAGCCACCCTACAAATGTTAGCTTCTTCTGGAAGAAAAATGGAAGCCTTCTGGAGGAAGGAAAAGAACTGAGATTTGACTCCATCTCCCCAGAAGACGCTGGAAATTACAACTGCTTGGTCAAGAACTCCATAGGGCAGACCACTTCTGAGACCTGGATGCTCCAAGTGCTGTGTGAGTGACCTAGAGCTGGAGGCTAAAAACAGAGCAGAGTGGGTGCCTGGCAAGCTGGATCTTGATTTTGCTTCCCCATGCAGATGCACCGAGGCAGCTGCGGGTGTCCATCGCTCCGAAAGACAGCGTGATGGAGGGGAAGAAGGCAGTCCTGACGTGCGAGAGCGATGCCAACCCTCCTGTCTCTCAGTACGCCTGGTTTGACTGGAACAACCAAAACCTCCACAATGCTGCTCAGACATTGAGACTGGAGCCTGCAAAGGTCCAGCACTCGGGTGCCTATCGGTGCCAGGGGGCCAACCAGCTGGGCACGGGCCAGTCACCACCCAGCACCCTCACTGTCTACTGTAAGGCCTATTCCCACTTCCCCTCATGTTCTTCTCTGGTCCTGTTGCTTCTGCAGCTTCCCCCATGGCTGTGCCTCCCAGACCACCTTGCACCTTCTTCCCCATCTTGTCCCCCACCCCCATTTCCTGTAGGTCCAGCCCAGCCTATCTACTCAAAAGCAAACTCCTAGCTCCAGTCCCACAGCCCCACAGCTTACCTGAGGGGTCACCCTATCCAACTCATTCTGGGTTTTCTCTTTCCCTCCCTCCCTTCCTCTCCTGACTCACCCTCCCCCAGAAGGACTTTCTTCTAAGCTGTCCCCACCTTCCAGACATCTCGAGCTCCTACTGGGTTCTTTCTCTCCGATGCTTTTTCTGTCTCACCTTTGATATGCTGCTTGTTTTTTGTCTTTTAAGATTTTAGTGTTTTTTTTTTTTTTTAAAAAAAAAAAAGACAACACAAGTACATGGTAAAAAGGAAACAAAATTCAAACAGCATAAAAGGGAAAATCAAGGAAGGACAGACACCTCTTACTCTTGACCCCTGAGGACTCCAGTTTCCTCTCAAGAGGTATCCATGATTGACAACTTGTTGTGCCTCCTTACGGCGATAGCCACGCATGCAGGACATGCAGGTAGAGATCTATGCTCACACACCCTTCTTTGTTACACAAGTGATAGGATACCTCACACTCAGTCCAACAACTGAGTTGTATGTTTCCACCCATGAAATAACACCACTTGAAAATCATCCTGTATCCATGTGTATGCATGGTCTGGAAGCATAGAGGAGACAGATAACTTATTTACACATATTGTACTTTTACAGATTAATGATTGCAGTGTAGAGGATCATCCCCTGAAAAGCTTGAGATGAAAGGAAAACATTGTGAGCATATTATTTGTAACTAAGATACAACTAGAAACACATGTTCCCTGTGTCTCCAGACTTTTCAGACACCCCGGAGAGCTATCTCTTTTTGCAATAGCTGCACTGTATTCCATTGCATGAGTGTCATAGAATTTATCTACTCAGTGCTCATTTCAAGGCCGTTGGCAGTCTTTTGCTTCAGACACACTTGCAAGATAGCAGCAGGATAAACTCCTGCATGGAACTATTGGGTCAAAAGACTGGTGCATTTTAAGTTCTGACGGTAAGGCCAAATGGCACTGTGAAGAGGTTCTATCCACGTATCGGGGTAACGTGCTCTGTGTGTCTGTCGCAAAGCAGCAGGTCCTCATGGGAAATAACTAGTCCTTTCCTCCTAATGGGAGGCCCAGCTGAAAGGAGCTTCTTTCTCCTTCTTTCTCTTCATCCAAGACATGGAGGAGAGGTGCAGACAAGAAGGGCAGTAGCTGGATGCCAAGAGAAATTGAGGATGCCTTCCAGGCCAACACCTCTGGGCAGAGCTGGTTTTATTTTATTTACTGAAAGCCCTTCTTCCTCCACCAGATAGCCCAGAGACCGTGGGCAAGAGAGCGGCTGTGGGGATTGGGGCCTGCCTGTCCATCCTCATCCTGGCAATTTGGGGGTTCAAGCTTCAGAGAGGGTGAGCTCCTCCTTCTCACTCCCTTGGCTGATTTCCCTCTCCCATTACTCAGTCCTGAAGCCACCGGCATGCTAAATCCACAGGGTTCAGTTCCCATTCCCACGATCCTCATTGAATGCCTCTATCTCTGCAGCTGGAAGAAGATTCAAGCCCAGCAGGAGCTTCAGGAAAATTCCAGTGGGCAGAGCTTCTTTGTCAGGAATAAAAAGGTAGGATGGGAGGAAGATGGAATGCTGGGCAGAAGCCTTGAAGACAAGCAAAGAAACTAGGTGAAGAGGGGTAATTAAAAGTACCCTGGGAAGAACTGGGACATCAGAGGCCGGAGAAAGGGAATTAGAGGTGAGGAAATGAGTGGTTAGAGCTGAAACCTTGTCTCTTTCTCAGGTTAGAAGGGCCCGCTTCTCTGAAGTGCCCCACTCCCTGGGATGTTATAATCCAGCGATGGAAGATAGCATTAGCTACGCTGCCTTGCGCTTTCCTGTTGATGAGACTGACACATCAGGCACCGGGTACTGAGGATACGGGGAGGGTGACACCTGTATCCTGGGAAGGGTGTGGGAGCCAAAGCTCATGTCCTATCTGCCCTCTTTGTGCCAGGCCCGTGCCAGGCACTGCCATATCTCCATTACCTCACTCCATTTCCTCAACAGCCCTCTGGCAATATAATGGTCTCTCAAATTGTACCTGTTCATTCAAGCCAGGAACATGTATGCCTAGAGCATGGATGTCAGTCTTCTTCATGAAGGTCAAGACTCCATGATCCACTCACCCATTCAGAACATATTTATTAGTGCCCACTGTGGATACAACAGACTGTTTTTAGATAAGAAAACCAACCATGGCATGGCTGGTGGACCAGGGGGCTTGGAAGGAGAAGATTTCATGTGAAATGTTTCATTTGTTATCATCTGTTTGCCCTCCAGTGACGCGGGGACTTCAGACAGTATCCCAAATAGGGAGGACATGGTCACTTATTCTGTGGTGCAGAAACATCGAGTGGTAAGAGGGGTGCGTGGAGAGGGAGGAGTGGGGGAGTTACAGTCTGGCCTCAGTGTTGGCTGGACTTAGCAGTGGCAAGTGCTGGGCATTGGGGAGGGTTGCTCAGGTGTGTTCAGATGCTCCAAGTCTGACCACACCTATGCCTGACTATACCTTTTGTCTCTGGGGTCAAGCCCGGGGTAAGAGGGACAGAAAGGAGGTAGAAAGATGCTGATTACAGTCAGTTTCTGAACCAGAGGACCCCCACATGGGCTCTTGGACTCTCAATTGATTTTAAGCAGAGAATGAAAGGGCATGGAGGTGAGACTGTGGGAGGCTAGTAGCCGTGAGGCCATACTTACCATGATGTGACTTTCTTAGGGAGACTATGAGAATGTGGCTCCAGGTTTTCCAGAAGATGAGGGGTTACATTATTCGGAGCTGGTTCATTTTGGGGCTGGGGAGCGGCCTCCCACCCGGGAAGAAGTGGAATACGTGACTCTCAAGCCCTGATGGATAGAACCGGCTGTGGTGAAGGTGTCCAGGGGCTGCAGGGGACAAGGATGTCCTGGAGCTTTCCTGATCCCCTGCTGCTCAGCCACTAAGTTACACACACATCCCTCCCTTCAACCCCCACACTTAATGCCACCCCAGTCAGTGCGGACATCCTTGTGGCTGGCCCAGAGCCAATCTTTCTCTTAAGTGATGGTAACCCCCACCCTCCAAAGGGCCTGTCCCCTGGTCATTTTCCACTCTCCTTCCTGATACTGTACTATAAGACTCCCCTAGCCCCACCCAGCCATCTGCACCATCTCCTCCCTAAACCCCATCCCCAATATATTTTTTTCTTCTTCTCCCTCCTCATCCCTTTGACACTCCCACCCCTGCTTTGACATCTCCACTTGTGAATCTTATGTCCCATTTCAGCCTCTGGGGTAAAGCCCAGGGGAAGAGGGACAGAAAATGAAGTAGAAAGAGGACCTACCCCCCACTGGTTCTCCTCTGGAAACATGTCTACATGTCAGCTAAGCATTCCGTTGAGGTTTTTATGCTGCTGTAGTCCCTACCCTCAGGAGTCTGGTGGTCTGAGACTAACTCGATGTTGTGGACAAGCATGTAATGTACAGAGAACTATACAATAAAAATGGCTCAAATACCATTCCAAAGAACCTGTGAATTATTTCCAGCCTGTGAAGGTCAGGGTGTTTGTGGACAGGGAAATGGGGGAGGCATTGCGGAGTCTGGGGTAAGTGAAAGGAGTCACAATAAGTTCTGGTGGCATAAAGCCTAAGGCATTTGACTGCTAACCAGAAGGCTGGCAGTTCAAACCCACCAGCCACTCCTCAGAAGGAAGATTGGGCCATCTGCTTCTGTGGAGATACTGCCTCAGAAACCCAAGAACGGGCGGCTATGAGTCGAACCAATTCAAAGGCAGTGAGTTTGGTTTTGGTTTGAAGTTGATTGCAGGGTCTGTTATCTTGTTACAAAAAGTATGCTGGCTTTGTGGGAAGACACATGTGAGTTTGAATCTTGATTCTTCTGTCTAACTAACCAGGCGATCTTGGGCAAAATTCACCAGCTTATCTGAGCTTCAATTTCCTCATCTGTGAAATGGAGATGCTGCACCAACCTTGCTGTTAGTTCAAGATAGGAAGTGAGAGGCCCCTTTATATGCTGTAGTCACATTACAAGATGCCTAACACAGTACCCAAAGTCCCTAATAAAACCAACTGCCATCGTTTATTTGCATCTCTTGAAGAATGTAAAAGGGGAAACCAATTCATTACTCACAACTGTTCTCAAAACTTACTCCCACCAAGGCCTTTCAAACCCACAGCTGCTTAAGAATTTCTGGAAGACCAACTATCTTAAGAAACCACAGTTTTCTGTCTTTCACCATCATCCCCACCAGATCTCTATTCTGTTCACTGATTCAGAGTTTGCAAATAAGCCTTTCCATGTCTGATCCCTCTCCATCCATTCTCCTATTTCTTCCAGTGGGCTAAGACCCACTCTCCTTGGAGGGCAGAAAACCTGTGATTAGTAAATCACCAAGAAAATGAATGTAAAATTCCTGACACATTATTGTTGCTCCAGAAATACCTCTTTTTTCTCCTCCCCTTCTTTTGTGCCTCTGCTAGATAACAGAATGAACCCTCAGATAAGAAGAAATTCTGGTCATTCTTAGAATTAACACAGAGCGAGGCAAATCTACTTTGTCCCCAGTTGGATTTCTTGTGGGCACCATTATTTTTTCTATGACATAGAATTATTTCTGGAGGAAAAGCCCAAACTCGCTGCCATTGTGTTGATTCCGACTCATAGCAACCCCCACTGGGTTTCCAAGGCTGTAAATCTTTAATGAAGCGGACTGCTTCATTGTTCTTCCATGGAGTGGCTGGTGGGTTCAAACCACTGACCTTTTGATTAGCAGCCCAATGCCTTAAACCATTACGCACGAGAGCTCCTTTCTGGAGGAAGGGAGACCTCAGTAACTGTTTCAATGATAGGAGAGTGTACCCCAATGTTAATTTGCAGCATTGTTAACAATAGCCAAAAAGTGGAAAGAACTCAAGTGCCCATCAACAGATGAATGGATAAAAATAAATAAATAAAAATAGAATATTATTCTACCATAAAAAGGAATGAAGTTCTAACACATGTTATGGCATGGATGAACCTTGAAAACATCATGCTGAGTGAAATAAGCCAGACACAAAATGATAAATATTGTATGATATTATTTATATGAAATATTTAGAGTAGGCAAATGCATAGAGCCAGAGAGTAGATTATTGGTTATGAGGGACTTGAGGGAGGGGGACATGGGAAATTATTGCTTAATAAGTACAGAGTTTCTGTTTGCAGTGATTAGAAAGTTTTGGAAACAAATGGTGATGCTTACATAACATTGTAGGTGTGATTAATGCCATGGATTGTACACTTAAAAATGTTAAAATAGCAAATTTTGTATTGAATATTTTAATATAATGAGAAATAGGGAAAAAATTAGAGGGGGAGGATTTTAGAGTTTGTGAACTCAAAATGAGATTCAATGTCATTCAATTACCCACTCATTCATCCAAAAAACACTGAGCACCTGTCACTGAGCCAGGTGCTGGGGTACAAAAAAGATCAGACAGTGTCCCACTCTCATAGTCTAGTCTCCAAAGTACATTTTGCTATCTGGGGTCACATTAAGGGATCATAATGCAGCCCCAGGCCTGAAGAAGCCTGGAATAGGTTCCCTGGCAACCAAAAGGTACGTTCCCATCCTGTCCCTGAGCCCAGCTGCTGACATAAACCTGCTTCATGACCAATTGACTGGTGGATGTGGCTGTTAATAGGCCCCATGAGGCATGTAGAACAGATGGCCAAGAACTCTGAGGACAGGAACTCTAGAACACAGGCAGCCATCCTCCCAGAGTCCGGACAACTGATTATTCAATAATACTTACTGAGCAAACAATCCACTTTTAGTAGCATCTAAGAGAATAAAACACCCAGGAATAAAGTTATTATACATTTAAAATTATAGAACACTACTGAAAGAGATTAAAGAAGACTTAAATAAATGGAAAGATGTTCTGTGTTCATGGATTAGAAGACTTAATAATGTTAAGGTCAATACTACCCAAAGCAATCTATAGTTCAGATGCAATCCCAATCAAAATTACAAAAGCCTTCTTTACAGAAATGGAAAATCTAATTCTCAACTTTATATGGAATAGCAAGAGGTCATGAATTGCTAAAGCAATACTGAAAGAGAAGAATAAAGTAGGAGGACTCACACTTCCTCATTTTATAACATATACTCCTACAGTAATCAAAACATCCTGGTACTGGTGTAACAATAGACACATAGACCCATAGAATAAAATTGAGAGTACAAAAATAAATGCACACATCTGTGGTAAACTAATTTTTTGACAAGAGTGCTAAGTCCCTTCAATAAATGGTGTTAGAAAAATTGAATTTACACATGCAGAAAAATGAAACAGGATCCATGCACAAAAACAAATTCAAAATAGATTAAAGACTAAATGTGAAAACTAAAACCATGAAGTTCTTAGAAGAAAGTGCAGAAGCATTTTCTGTCGGGCCTAGCTTTTGATGATGGATTATCTTATATAATAACAAAAGCACAAAGAACCAAAGACAAAATAAATAAATGGAATATTATAAAAATTAAAAACTTGTTCATCAAAATACTTTCCAAAAAAGTGAAAAGACAAGCTACTGACTGAGAGACTATCTTTGGAAACTATATATTCAATAAGAATCTAATAACCAAACTATATATAAAACTATAACAACTTAACAGTGCTTGCTTCAGTAACACATATACTAAAACTATAACAACTTAGGGACCTCTGGTAGCGTAGTGCTTAAGGCATTTGAGTGCTAGCCAGAAGGCTGGTGGTTCAAACCCATCAGCCACTCCTCGAAAGGAAGGTTGGGAAATCTATTTCCGTAGTGATACTGCCTCGGAAACCCAAGGAGGGGTCACTATGAGTCGGGTTCAACTCCACGGCACATAACAACAACAACAACATAACAACTTAACAACAAAAAGACAATCCAATCAAAAATGGACAAAAGACTTGAGTAGACACTTCACCGAAGAAGACTTTCAAATGGTCACCAAACACACAAAATGATGCTAAATGCCATTAACAATCGGAGAGATGTAAATCAAAACCACAATGAGATACTACTGTTTCACTTCCACTAGGATGGCTAAGATCAACAAAACAAAGCAACAACAATAAAAATAACAACAGCAAATAATAAATGTTGGCGAGGATGTGGGGAAATTGAAACCTTTATCCATTGCTGGTGGAAATGCAATATGGTACAGCAGCGTACAGGTACAGTATGCAGGGAGCAGTGGCAGACAGGGCCAGCAGGAACAGGTAGGGGGAAGCCCAGGAAGTGAGCAGAGCAGTTGGAACAGCTAAGGGAGACAAACTTGTCTGTCGGTTTGTCCTACTGTGGTGGCTTGAGTGTTGCTGTGAGGCTGGAGGCTGTGTCACAGGGGTGCCCATGGTGGATTGGTTTCAGTGAAGCTTCCAGACTGAGATAGACTTGGAAGAAGTAAGAGACCATCCACTTCTCAAGGAATTGGCCAGTGAAAATCTTATGAATAATAGTGAAACACTGTCTGATATATTACTGGAAATTTTTATGAATAGCCCTGAAACATTGTCTGATACAGTACTGGAAGATGAGTCCCTCAGGTCAGAAGGCACTCAAAATATGACTGGGAAAGAGCTGCCTCATCAGAGTAGAGCCTACCTTAATGTTATGGATAAAGTAGAGCTTTTGGGGTCTCCAATTGCTGAAGTGGCATGACTCAATATGAGAAGAAACAGCCGCAAACATACATTGATAATCAGAACATGGAATGTATGAAATATGAATCTAGGAAAATTGGAAGCTGTAAAAAATGAAATGGAACACATAAAGATTGATTTATGTCCTAGGCATTAGTGAGCTGAAATAGACTGGTT